TCTAAAAGGAGCGAAGTAGTATATAACTTTTTTGCTAATAAGGTACAGTATCGGTAGTAGCCGTTAATTCCGGTGTCCTAATAAGGGAGCCCCTTAAAGAGTTCTACTAACCTCTAGAACCTTCTAAGATCTATTAGTTAATATTTAAGTTATCGATAAAGAAGCTATAAGTAATTTCTAATTAATAGGAGGGCCTAGATATCGGTAGAAAATTCGAACTTAAAGAAGAACTCCTATAGGTTCAATCGCCTCTAGAGCGACTAGTTCTCTAGATCTAATTACGAGGTTAAAACTAGAGACCTAGTAGTACGTATAAGCTATTACGCGTCTTAAGAATTTTCTATAACCTTTATAGCTAATATAGAAAGGCGGCAAATATAGCGACTTATCTAGATAAGGAACTTAACTATTATTTACTCGATTACTACTACTATAATCTCCGATACTTCCTACGACTTCCGCTCGACTAAATATTATATACTCGAAGAGCTTACAAGCCTAGCCCGCTTATAATACATTAGAAAGGACTCGAAGAATAGGATAATAGATATCTATAGTTATCTATAGGTATCTAACCTGCGATAATTCTCGATAATAAGAAATCCTATCGACCGAGGGACGATATAAACGGTTATTTAGGAGCTTCGTAACTTATTACGTAAATAGATTAACCTTTATACCGAACGAAACGACTAAACCGAGCCTGACCGATAAAGACTCTAAAGATCTTACTTAGTATATAAACGTAGATATACTACGGATACGATTTTCGAACTAGATAATACTACCTATAGAAAACCTATCTAGAGGAAGCTTTATCTAACCTAGGATAATATCTATAGATACGAGAACTCTTAGTTATCTATAGATTATCGAAGATAATACTAGTGTTAAAAAACTAACTATACTAGTATATATCTATCTCGATATATAGTATCTAGATATATAGTTATCCTACTAGAAGACAAAAACTATCTATAAATTATCTATAGTAAGGTATCTATAGATGAAACTTCTAAATAGAAGAAAACGTTGTAGATATAGTATCCGGGGCTCCGTTAAACACTCCTCGCCGCTATTTGCGGGGTTCTTAGCTATACGTAAAATAGCTTTTCCCTAGTAGGCTATACGCAAAACTCGATAAGCGGTATATTCTAGTCCTATATAGATATATAGCTAGGTGCAATACTAAACTACGAGTCTAAATACCACATTAACTACTTTATCTAGGTATATAGTAGCCGTATAACCTTACTATCGCTATTTCTTATATAATCCCTAATAGGCGTACCTGCCTTATTCTAACGCGTATATTCGTCGTGTTCCCCCTATTTTCTATATTCTAATATACGTATTATATATAAAACTCGGTAGATCGGTAGAGGGCGAAAAAGGGTATAAGGGTAAAGAGGATACGTACCGAGCGGTTAACCGAGATATAGAGGGTAGAGAGGGTAGCAAAACGCGTTAGCGTACTAACTAACAAATCCTTCCTTATCTATATTGCCGCTTATAGATCTTGCTTTATTAATTGTTACCTTCTGCTTAAAGCATTTAACTAGCTATTAGGAAAAAGATATCTATTAGAGATAGTGAATTCGAATCTAATAATAAGGAAGGATAAGTAACTAGTAGTACTTTATATTAATAAAGCGATACTTTATAATCTACTAGTTACTTAATACTAGCTCGGTTTTAATATCGCTAATACACTCGCCTTTAGTAGTCTATTTAGGTTATTAAAACTAACCTATAGGGTAAAGAATAATACTAATAGCTCTAAATAGCTACTAGAGTATATAAGGAAGTTAGACGTTATTAGTAATAAGGAGCTATAAGAAGCGATTGTAATATTTAAGAGCTCTAAGCATGATCCACAATTTTGTGTGGTGGCGCGGGCGATAAGCCGCGACTAATCCGCCGATATGCCCCTTGTACCCTATAAGCAACCTGTAGCCTAATCAGTAAGGCAGTATAAGGCGCCGCTCCTACTGCTACTGAAGCGTCGTAGAAGGGTCAATAGGATTTCACGGGGTAAGGACCCTAGC